CCGCTCACCCACCTGCCGGCTCCCACCCGCGAGCACGCTCGGTGCCTCACTGTGTTGCTCCCTTTGTGTAAAGTGTGTCTCCAGCTACTAGTCCGCATCCGCCGGGATCCTTCGTCCACCTTAAACCCGTTACGCGTGTCAGATTCACCCTAAATTTAAACATAATACTAAGAACTAAAGAAATTTAAATTTGCAGAGCACTTTCAAAACTGCCTTTGACTTAGGACAGTCACTCCCGAGCCCAAAAGAGCAGTTTCACAATAAAAATGTGTAGTATGCATGGGTAAAGATCATGTGGTAGGTAAATGTCCGTGTTTTTCAGATGTAAAAATTTAAATCAAGCAGGTTGAAGTTCATCCTATGAAAATCGCTTTCTGACCACCGCCTCCCTCTAAAATACAGTTCTTTTTCTTAAGAGTCATCTTCAGTTTGCAAACCCGGAGAGGGAGAATCAACTTAGTTATTGGTTACGTGTATTTAGATAATTTACCGACCTCAAAGAAGTGCTGTAGTCTTACATTGATAGAATTCGACCATTAAATATTTACTATGCAATAACAACTGCAGAATGTACTAAAAAAAACACTGAATTTTAGAACTTCAGAACGTATTAAAACGGAGAGTCCGGAAGGGCAGATATTGGCAGAATTTCTTCAGCACATTTAGAGGTGAGGGTGCTCTGGCCCACAAACAAACCTGTGTAGTAGGAATAATAAACTTTTATCAAGCACTTACTCTGTGCCAGCCACTGTAAGTGCTTTACAAAATTATTTAAATCTCAAACTGTGAGATAATCATTATAGATCTGTAATCCCATATTCAAAATCCATAGGAGCAGCCAGGCCTGTGTTGCTCAGTGGATTGAGTGTTGTCCCATGCACCAAGCAGACGCTGGTTTGATTCCTGGTCAGGGTACAAGCCCAGGTTGCAGGCTTGATCTCCAGTAGGGGGCATGCAGGAGACAGCCCGTGCAGGAGGCAGCCCATCGATGTTTCTACCTCTCTCTCCCTCTCCCTTCATCTCTAAAATCAATTTTAAAAAACTTTTTTAAATCCATAGGACCAGACATGGATCAGAATTCAGAAAATGTCAAGTTTTAGAAAGGTAAAATGGTATGTAAAATGTATATTATGGCCAGGCTGGCGAGGCTCAGTGGTTAAGCACCGACCTATGAATTAGGAGGTCATGGTTCGATTCCCTGCCAGGGCATATGCCCGGATTGTAGGCTCAATCCCCAATGTGGGGTATGGAGGAGGCAGTCGATCAATGATTCTCCCTCATCATTGATGTTTCTTTTTTTAAAATATATTTTTATTGATTTCAGAGAGAAAGGTAGATGGAGAGAGAGAGATAGAAACATCAATGATAAGAATCATGCTGAAACCGGTTTGGCTCAGTGGATAGAGCCTCGGCCTTCGGACTGAAAGGTCCCAGGTTCGATTCCAGTTGAGGGCATGTACCTGGGTTGCGGGCACATCCCCAGTAGGAGATGTGCAGGAGGCGGCTGATCGATGTTTCTCTCTCATCGATGTTTCTAACTCTCTATCTCTCTCCCTTCCTCTCTGTAAAATATCAATAAAATATATATTTAAAAAAAAGAATCATTGATTGGCTGCCTTCTGTACACCTCCTACTGGGGATTGAGCACACAACCCGGGCATGTGCCCTAGAGCAGAATCGAATTTGGGACCCTTCAGTCCAAAGGCCGACACTCTATCCACTGAGCAAAACCGGCTAGGGCAGATGTTTCTATATATCTCTCTCCCTCTCCCTTCCTCCCTGAAATAAATAAAAATATATATTTTTAAATGTACATTATGTAGTACCTCCAAGGGTAGCATCCTATAATCAAATACTATTTCTGGAGTAAAAAACATATAGTCTCAGAATGATTTTTTTAAAGGCCATAAATCACGTCACTTCTGTTCAGGTCAGGTTTAACCACTATATGAGTTACCCCCACACACAAAAAAATGTGGATTTTATTTTTTTGGATTTTGGAATCATGGGTAATAATTTATCCCATTTCCCCAATGAAGGCACTAAAGCAAGAGAGGTTAAGTAACTTGCCAAGAGTCACACAGCTGATAAAAGGAAAAGATAGAATTTAACCAAGTTCATCTGGCTTAAAAACCTGTGCTCCTAACTCTACCTGCCACTCCTGCCAGGTAAATCCCCCTTGTGGAAATAAAAGCCTTTCCCTGAAGATCTACTACTCAGGACCTTTAGGGGAGAAAAGGGAGAATTCTGAGCAACCTTAAAATTTCTCTTCCTAAACAGAAGAAACCCCAGAGTACATCTAGCTCTCAAGCCCCTTCCTCACCTTCAGACCTCCCACTGATTACGCAGAAGACCTGGCTAGAACACTTCCTCTCCTCTCCCAACCCTTCAGACTGGATGTTTTTTGAGCCTTACTGGGCAAAACCAAACAAGAACTAACAAGAGTTTGGGTTGGAGGCCGGCAGAGATATGAGAAGTATCAGACAAAGGAAAATGCAACTCTCAAACCCTCAATTACCTGCAGGACAGTGACCTAAAATGCCTGCCAATAACCCCCTCTTGTTTGAAAGTCACCCTTTCATATTCTATCTTAGAACCTCTAATCTCTCCCTTTCCCCACCAGGCTTCCCAGCAAGGCCATTGATCTGAAGAGGAATTTCATCTCTAACCTTTGGCCCTAGGCCTGGCAGCTCACATGGGCAACCCACTGTCTCCCAGCATTGGCCCAGGAACACTTCTTTCCCCAAACAAACCAACCTCCACTAACATCCTCCACTCTGTGCTTTCACTGATTATGCATTGGCAGCTTCTGCCAAGTTCTACCTGTAACTGGCTTCATCTCTCAAGTCAGATGTTTGGCTGCTCTATCCCCTGCAACAAGGAGTCATGCCAGCTGGACACATTCTCCTTTCCCAGCCTCTGGCGGCCAGGACAGAACCAAGACCACAGCTGTTGAGACCCTGAGCCCGGGGTTTGTGGCCTTCTCTCACTGTGTCCCTCAAGGAGGGCCTCCCCCAACAATGATCTCCTCATTGTTCCTGGCCTCCCTATTCCTGGCTCTGGCCACAGTGGCCACTACCAGAGCTGACCGTCAATGCCTGGCATGTGGGGAGCATGCCTTGGACCTGCAGAGCCAGCGGGAGCTGCTTCTCCCCCTTGCCAAGAGAAGCATCTTGGACAAGCTGCACCTCAACCAGCGCCCAACGCTGAGCCGGCCAGTGTCCAGAGCCGCTCTGAGGATAGCGCTGCAGCGCCTACATGGGCGTCCACAGGGGGCGCTTCCAGAGGCTGACAGGGGACAGGAATATGAGATCATCAGCTTTGCCGAGACAGGTGGGTTACTGACCTGTAGATCTTCCTCAAAACCTGACCTCTCAAGGAAAGGAAAAGTGTCCTCCCCAACCTAATCCCTGACTTCCTCCCCCAAACCATCCCAACTCTTTCTTCCCATGACCTGTAATCTCCTAATCCAGGATTCCCACTACCCCTGCCCCCTTCCCTCCCCGCTCAGCCCCCAGTCTCTCTCTTGTGATTTAGACATGACCAATGGGCAGCTGGGATGTAGGTAAATTTCACTTTGTTTAAAATTGCCTGCCCCCATCTCCTTTAGCTCCTCTCTCTAAAGACCCCACAAACTTCCCCAGGCTGTGGTGTGAGCCCATCCACTTCCTGGGCCTGGACCCAGAGGCTAGAGGCTGGAGGCTGGGGTGTCTGTCTTTTCTCTGGCCCAGGATCCAACTTCTTCATCTCCTCTCCCCCAGATGCCTCATTTGGGTAAAAGGACAAAATAAAAACACCAGGACTATAATACCTCTCCACCCTACCCCTGCCCTCTTGCCTTGATACCTCAGTTACACACATCAGAACAGGGTCAAAATGGGACATAGAAGGGTGGATAGAGGATAGAAGAGGAGAGTTACTTCCATGGAGGGGAGAGGAGTTGGAGAATTTAGTGGACAGCTGGAGAGAAAGAGCAAGAATTCGGAGATAGTACCCTAGAAACAGAACACAAAGTGATCTATCTGTCCTCTGAGCTTCCTACAAGCGCTTTCTTAGGTATGAAGGCCCTTCCCATTCCTGGCCCCTTCCCCCTGGTCTGTACTTCAAGACCCGGCACTCCCATTCTCAAAAAACCTCCCTGACCTAAGGGTGAGATGCTCCCTTACCTTGAACCAGAACTCTCTGTGTGAAATTGTCTATTTTCAGGTTTTCTATAAAGGCTGTCTTCCAATAGAATATCAACCCTGAGGTCAGGAACTGTCATTTATTCCTCATGTTATCACCAGAGGCTAGTATATAGTAAAAATAACTTACACTTACAATGTTTACTGTGTTTTAAGCCTCTTACATATACTAATGCCTTAAGATCCTTACAACAGCTCAGTGAGGCAAGTACTATTATCATCCCCATTTTAGAGGTGATGAAACTGAGGCACATAGAGGTTGAGTAACTTGCTAAAGTTCACATGACTGGGAAGTGGTGAAGCCAGTCATGGCTCTGGAATCCATGGCCTTGGGCACTACCACCCTGCCTCTCCCAAGCAGAATAGATGCCCAATAAACATTGGTTGCGTTAAACAATCAAATCACATTGCAGGTCAGCTTGACCATAGTCTAGAGTCCCCAGTAATGGATGAGACCTTATTCTAGTTCAAAATGTGCTTCTGTTCATGATTAAGAACACAATTCTAGAGCCAAATAGCCTGGGCTCAAATCCTTGCTCAGACACTTATTACTGTGTGACCTGGGTTGTTAATAGTCATTTTTCTTATGTGTAAAATAGGGATAACTGGAGGATAGTTGAGATAATTAAATAAGCTAATACAGGTAATGTGCTTAGAAGACTAAGGTGGGAGGGAACAGGAAATAGAAGACTTAGCTCCTGCCCATGAGGGGTTCAGGTGCTGCTGCTGCTGCTGCTGCTGGAAATAAGTTAATCCTATATAATAAAAGCCTAATATGCTAAGTGTCTGGTCATCTGGTTGGCCATTCAACCAATCAAAGCATAATATGCTAATGATATGCTAAGGCAGCTCAACCGCTCACTATGACGTGCACTGACCACCAGGGGGCAGATGCTCCAACCAGTAGCTTAGCTTGCTGCTGGGATTCAGCCCCCATGGGGCCTGAGAAAGATGGGCTGGACACGCCCTGGAGCCCTCCTGCAGTCCCTCCCTAGCTGGCCAACCTTCCACTTCCCACCCCGGCCCCACACAGGAGCTGCCCCGTGGTGGTCAGTGCACTCCCATAGGGGGAGCGCCACTTAGCCAGAAGCCAGGCTCAAGGCTGGCGAGCGCAGCGAATGCAGCAGTGGTGGCAGGAGCCTCTCCTGCCTCCGGCCAGCCGCAGAAACGGCCTGGGCTCAAATCCTTGAAACGCTCCTCTCTTACCAGCACTGCATGATCTCAATAGTCATTTTTCTTATGTGTAAAATAGGGATAACTGGAGGATAGTTGAGATAATTAAATAAGCTAATACAGGTAATGTGCTTAGAAGACTAAGGTGGGAGGGAACAGGAAATAGAAGACTTAGCTCCTGCCCATGAGGGGTTCAGGTGCTGCTGCTGCTGCTGCTGCTGGAAATAAGTTAATCCTATATAATAAAAGCCTAATATGCTAAGTGTCTGGTCATCTGGTTGGCCATTCAACCAATCAAAGCATAATATGCTAATGATATGCTAAGGCAGCTCAACCGCTCACTATGACGTGCACTGACCACCAGGGGGCAGATGCTCCAACCAGTAGCTTAGCTTGCTGCTGGGATTCAGCCCCCATGGGGCCTGAGAAAGATGGGCTGGACACGCCCTGGAGCCCTCCTGCAGTCCCTCCCTAGCTGGCCAACCTTCCACTTCCCACCCCGGCCCCACACAGGAGCTGCCCCGTGGTGGTCAGTGCACTCCCATAGGGGGAGCGCCACTTAGCCAGAAGCCAGGCTCAAGGCTGGCGAGCGCAGCGAATGCAGCAGTGGTGGCAGGAGCCTCTCCTGCCTCGGCTGCAGGTGGGTGGTAAGGAGCGAGGTGTCCCGGACTTCGAGAGCCCCGGGCTGTGAGAGGGATATCTGACTGCTGGCTTAGGCCCGATTCCCAGGGGGATCGGGCCTAAGCCAGCAGGTGGACATCCCCCAAGGGGTCTTGGATTGTGAGAGGGTGCAGGTCGGGCTGCAGGCCCCCCCCCCCCAATGCACAATTTTCTTGCACCAGGCTTCTAGTTAGATTATAAGGCAGAATGAAATAAATGCTGCCTGAGGGCGCAAGAGTTTGCTGGGCCAGGATTAACTCATTGGAACCTGGTGAGACAGGGAGGTCTTTCAGAAGATTGCAAATGGGCTGCCATTATAGAGTAAGTTTGACTTCAAATGGGTAGAGAATGGTAAATAACATCCTAAATGGAGGGGGGAAACAGGTAAAAGTCTGAAGGAGTAGATTGCATTTGGAGTTGAAAAATAGGTGGACAGATGGCCATGAACCATGAATCCCTTGGACACTGATCCTGGCTCATTTGGGTTTTTTCCACCTTTGCATCCCTGACACTTAGCCCAGTTCCTGGCACATTGCAATAATAATGATGGTTGCCATGCATTCCGTGTACCTGCCTCACCTAGTGTAACTCTCACAACCACCCTATAAAGTAGACTTTAGAATTCCCATCTTATGAATGCAAAAACTGAGATTCAAAGAAGATTATTTACATGGCCAAGGTCATACAGCGTGGAAGGGGCAGAATTCAAACACAATTCTCTCTGACTTCAAAGTCTGTATACTTTCCACATATTTGCTAATCAATAATGATTACAATGTTCAGGCCAGAGGGGACCTGATCGGAGATGAAGTTTGAAGGTGAGAATGACTGATGCCTGGATTTCACCTTTCACATTTAAATATTTTAGCCTGAAGTTTTCATTTCAATTCATTTAAGTTATCTGAAATAAAGATCTGAACATTGTTCTTGCTGGAAGTATGAAGAGAGAGAGTTTGAGGCTCTGGGGAAACTAGGGTAGGGGCCTTCAGTGGTGTCCTGGAACTGGCTCATACTGGCTCATGAGAGCTGATTGTGAATATCTTCCAACTTTGCATCCAGAGACATCACATTGATAGTTGAAAATCAGTCATGGTGGGAGAATTTATACCACAGAAATTGGCAAATACTACAAATCAGGGTACTTTTCCCCCTCTAGAATCCAGTTGTTAAATATTTATCAGCACACCACTGCTTGTGACCTAAAATTACAAGTTAACTGCCTCCCACACACCTAATATACAATGCTGAGACAAGACAGGATATCCGTAATAGATACTCCTATTCAAAATGGGAGATGGGGAAGCACAGAGCAGTCACTGACCCATGCAAATTCTGATATTTAGCCAGGCACATATCTCAGTCCATCCCAACTCCAGGATTCCCTTGGTTAGTGCCTGATTCTGCTGCTCCCTGTAGGATTTTCCTCTCCTCTCAGGAAGAGTACACCGCTGCTCTCCTCGGCTTCTAGAGCCACTCTCTCAGCACCCACTGAGATGTCTTTCTTTTCAAATAAGAAATGACCTGAGCTCGTGAGAAGTTGGGGGCCCACCGGCCTCTTTTCACTTTGAACTGTCTCTGTCCCTTTAGTCCAAATTGGTACTGCTTTCACTATTCAAATTATCTTTAAAACTCCGTGGGCCTTCTAAATAATAAATTATGGTCTACTCAATTAGACAAAAGGCACTCCACTCTGTCAAGACAGACCCCTACTTGTGTTACAAGTCAGGGTGTTGTGGGGCACAACTCTTAAGATTCTTAGAAACCCTTTTGTCCAGTTGAGAGGGTCTACAGAACATCATCTTAAGTTTTAGAGCTTAACAAAGATGTGAGATCACAGCTAAGGGTCTTATGGCTGACCCTTTGTTTTTATCTTCACACCGAGGCCATGTTTTACTGGCAGTGCCCTGGATTTGATTTTTGCCTTGAGAACATATCTCATCTGAAGAACTTTTTGCCAGACAGAGAAACAAGGAATGAAAAAATATTTTATTGTTCAATCTAGCAAGTCCTGTTTGAAATATTCTATCGAAATTCTGCTTGAAAATTTAACAGTTCTTGCGATAAGGCAGCTAAAATAAGCCAAATGACACTTCCAGCATTCTGCCTGGAAATATCTTCAGCTAAATTCACAACTTTGTTAGATATCATTTCTAGCTTCCAAGTTATCACAGCTGATAGCCAATACATAATACAGTGTCCCCTTTCTCTGGCTTCCAATAGCAATTTTCTCACTGCTCTAACTGCCTTCACTAACACTCTCCTCGCCACCCTTACAACCTCGGCCTGCCACCCAATCCCAAAGCCAGTGCTATCTGTTTTAGGTCTTTATTATGGAACACCCTACTTCTGATACTAGTTTCTGTTTCAGTTATCCATTAATATAACAAAGAAGCCCAAATACAGAGGCCTCAAAGAAAAAATTCAATATTTTTCATAATTTTGTGATTTGACTGGGCTTATCTGGACAGTTCTGGTCCACATGGGCTAGCTGAAGTTGCTCATGTAACCACATTCAGGCAGGAGCTGAGATGGGGCTAGAACACCTAAGATGGTCTCTGATTTTCCACATGGCTTCTCATCATTCAGTAGTCTCTCCCAAGTTTCTCTGAAGCCAAGTTGCTGGTTTCCAAAAAGATGAAGCCTCAGTGTATAAACTTCTGCTTGCACTATGCTTGCCTGTGTCTCGTTGGCCAAATCAAATCACATGGCCAACACAAGAATTAATATGGGAAGAAATTGCACAAAGCTATGAATATTGGGAGCTGTTGTTCATTGGGAGCCAACGATGTAATAGTCTACCACAACCCCTGTGGGTCATATGTCTGCCTGCCATAACTGGAGTGACTTTAGAGATCCTAACAGTAAGGTGCTCAGTGACCTAGCAAGAAAAGATTAGTTAGGCCAATCAGACTCTTCTAGGATTTTGGAATTGGGACACTGAAAGATCAGCTCACTTAGCTAGGAAGAGGTGAGTAAAAGGTTCTGTAGACTCAGGACCTGGGGCCACCATTTTGGGAGTTGAGAAAGCTGATGAGGAGGCAGAAGAAGTATATCCAAGCCAGCTAGAATATAAACTCCATGAAGGTAGAGATTGTGCCTGTATGGTTCACCATTATATGATTCACTTAGTACATAGCCAGCACCCAAAATTTGTTGAATGAATGGTCTTTTATTTCTTTAATTCTTATTTTACACTGACACCAGAGTTACTTGCCAAAAACTTGGCTAGATCATGAAATTCACGATCTCAAAAACCTTATTAGTGAAGAAAGTCCAAATTTTCAGAGAGAAAAGAATGAAGTAGACTTACACGGAAACAGAGGTGAGAGAGATCATAATGGCTCTGAGAGGTGTCAAAAGCTGTCTTATTCCTGACATTCCAATTCACATGAAGCTTAGTTGAACTTTATTTTCTGCCCTTTTATGTCCATGAAAGTGCCAGTGGCATTCCCACAATAAAGCACTCTTTACTTGATAAAGAAAAAAAAGGGTAGCTTAGATCAAATCATAATGGGCTTATGACCGCTTCCTAAAAGAGTTTGGGCTTTCTTCACTAATAAGGTTTTTGAGATGATGAATTTCATGAATTAAAGAGAGAGGAAGGGAGAGGGCGAAAGAGATACATCCATGAGAGAAACATCGATCTGCTGCCTCCTGCATGCCCCCTATTGAGGATCGAGCCCACAACCTGAGCCACAACCTGGGCATGTGCCCTGACCAGGGATCCAACTGACAACCTCTCAGTGCATTGTATGCTCAACCAACTGAGCCACACCTGCCAGGGCTAGACACCTGATTTTTTTTAAAAAAATCATTTTGGAGCAAAAAGGGTAGGTAATTACTATTATTTTTTTTGTAAATCAATCAAAATTATTATACCTTTTTTTGTCAGATTAGCAAAAACATGTATTTTTGGTATGCCGCAGAATTTTAGTAATTAGTTTGTGTGCCATGAGATGAAAAAGGTTGAAAATCACTGAACTAATGTATAGTAAAGGAGACAAGATCAGTGAAATTATATTATGAATTGGAGGTAGATTTGACAGTTCTTGCAGATAATTTCAAAGTAGGAGATGAGAGCAATCAAGGTTTTGGCTTAAGCAATGCATTTATATGGAAGGAGGAGATTGGAGAAGGAATGGGTTTGGGGAGATAAATCTAGAGTTCTTCTTTGAACATGAAAAGTTTGAAATATCATTGGCTATCCAAGTAGGTTATCAGATCAGCAGTGGGATATACAAGCCTGGGGCTTGGGGAGAAATCAGGTCCAGGGATATATATTTGGGAGTCATCAGCATACAGATGAAATTAAAAGCCATGGGAATTGACAAGACCATTCTGAGAGAGAGTATAGATATAGAAGAGAAAGGAGAAGAGAGCTCAGGACTTCCAACATGTAGAGGTCAGGCAGAGAAAGAGGAGTTGTCAGCAAAAAAAGATCAAAATGGAGTGGCCAGAATCACAAAAGCCAGGGGAAAAAAAAACTATTTCAAGAAGGAGGGAATGGTTAAGTATGTCAAACACTGCTTAAAGGTCAAGTAAGATGAATATAAAGAGATGAAACCATTGGACTTGGCAACATGACAGGTGTTGGTGAACCTGACAAGAGTAATTTCAGTGGAGTGGAGGGAATAGAAACCCAAGGAAAGTGTTTCAATGGGGCAGGTGAGGGATGAAGAGGGGAACAGTGGCAATCGTAATAGGGTTAGGGAGAAATGCATAGACATTAGAACCACTGTGGTGAGGGACTGGATAAGGGGAATGAAGGAGGTGGCCACGGGGTTTCCAGAGATGATAAGAAGGGTAGTGGCACCACCAAGTCTAAGAACAAAAAGAGAGATCAGCAAGAAAGAAAATAATGATTTCCATTTGGGACAAATTGATTTTAATGTGCTGGCAGGACATTTATGTGTCCTGAAGCTTGGTGATTCCCAAATCTATATGTCCAGTCTGGAGGTGCAAAATGGATTTGAGAATCACCAGAATAAAAGTTGTTTTGGCTGACCATGAGTGTGGGTAAGAGCTCTCCTCAGTGTAAAAGGCAAACTTTGGAGAACTCTTGCATTAAAGTGCTGGTCAGAGAAAGAAAAGCCAGCAAAGAAAATCAAGGAAGAATCAAACGAGAGTTGTGTAATGAAAGCCAAGAGAGAAAAGACTTTTAAGAAGGAAAGTGTAGTCAGCAATGTGGTCACGAATGAGCAGAGTGTTCAAGCGTGCAGAGAATAGAGAGGTAGCTGGTAAGAATTGACACTCAGATAAAAACAAAAATCTAGCATATAAATATTCAACTAATAATTATGATGTAAATGAATAAAGCATCACTCACTGAAAAAAAAAAAAAGAATTGACACTCAGAACACCACAATGACTGGGGCTTCTTGTGTCCACAGGCTTCTCCAACATCAACCAGACTCGTCTTGACTTCCACTTCTTCTCTGATAGAACTGCTGGTGGCATGGAGGTCCAGGAGGCTAGCCTCAGGTTCTTTGTGCAGCTCCCTCCCAATACCACCAGGACATTGAAGGTGAGGGTCCTTGTGCTAGGTTCACCTGAAGCCAACCTCACTTTGGCCACTCAGCACCTGCTGAAGGTAGATGCCAGTGGCTGGCACCAGCTCCTTCTGGGGCCTGAAGCTCAGGCTGCCTGCAGCCAGGGACACCTGACCCTGGAGCTTGTACCTGAAGGCCAGGTAGCCGAGAGCTCAGTCATCCTGAGTGGGGCTGCCCAGAGGCCTTTTGTGGCAGCCCGGGTGAGAGTTGGGAGCAAGCACCGGATTCGACGTCATGGCATCAACTGCCAGAGTGGGTCCAGGATGTGCTGTCGACAAGAGTTTTTTGTGGACTTCCGTGAGATTGGCTGGCATGACTGGATCATCCAGCCTGAGGGCTACGCAATGAACTTCTGCACAGGGCAGTGCCCACTGCATGTAGCAGGCATGCCTGGCATTGCTGCCTCCTTTCACACCACCGTGCTCAATCTTCTCAAGGCCAACGCAGCTACAGGCACACCTGGAGGGGGCTCATGTTGCGTGCCCACAGTCCGGCGCCCCCTCTCTCTTCTCTACTATGACAGGGACAGCAACATTGTTAAGACTGACATACCTGACATGGTGGTCGAGGCTTGTGGGTGCAGTTAGTCTATGTGTGGGATGGAAGCCCAAGGTAGGGTAGGCAAATATGCCCCCACAGAGGTGCCCTTCCTTGAGAACAGGGACTGACTCCATTACTGCCTCTGTACAGAAGGTGCAATCCCTCTTCCTGAGCAACCTATGGAAATTATCCCAACTTGGACTTGAGGAGATCTTCACCTAAAGAGAGTCACTGTGCCTGGTTGGGGTAGCTCAGTGGTTGAGCATTGACCCATGATTCGATTCCCCATCAGGGCACATGCCCTGGTTGCAGGCTAGATCCCCAGTAGGGGGCAGGTAGGAGGCAGCTGATCAATGATTCTGTCTTATGGTTTTCTATCTCTCTATCCCTCTCCCTTCCTCTTTCTAAAATCAATAAAAACTTAATTTTTAAAAAGTCAACCTTTAAAAAATAAATACATACATACATAACCACCAGCCTCTCTCCAAGAGCACAGTCCATCAAGCAAGCCCCACATGCTCAACTGCCAGCCCAGAGGCTCTGATCCACCTCCAACCATAAGCAGTGCAACCCAGGCAGACACCCATAACCTACTCTTAATCTACACCATAATCCACAATGCTTCCCTGCCCTTTCCACTAAATGCCTCTCCCTCTCTAAATAATTTGACCCAGCCCCTCCCCTTGATTTTCTGCATCTCCAGAGAGTCCCCTCCTTGGTTTCACCAAAGATTAGATCATTACTCTCCAAAATGAGGCTCATTTCTCTCTTGTGTCTTGAGTCCCTTTCCTCCTTACTTGCCCGGGTAGCCCACCTAAGGCTTTCTTGGCACACCTACATCCATTCTTTATCCTTCTCTGCCATGCTCTATGGGCTTGGGGGCTGACTCACCTGAGTTCCTTTGGCCCCTGCTTCCTGCTGAATTTAACTAAGGGAAGACACAAGCAAGAAGTCCAAATATGCCCTAACCGGTTTGGCTCAGTGGATAGAGCGTCAGCCTGCGGACTCAAGGGTCCCGGGTTCGATTCCGGTCAAGGGCCTGTACCTTGGTTGGGGGCACATCCCCAGTGGGGAGTGTGCAGGAGGCAGCTGATCGATGTTTCTCTCTCTATCTGTCTATCCCTCTCCCTTCCTCTCTGTAAAAAATCAATAAAATATATTAAAAAAAAAAAAAAAAAGAAGTCCAAATATTTCTTATTCACGCAGCCTAGGTGCTGTGGTTCTGTGTGACTGTGGCTGTGACTATGTCCCTACAGCTCCTGTCTGGCTCCTCTCTTCCATGGCTTCAGCTTTGCCTGGGTTCTGATATCACTGCTTCCATGCTAAAGGCTTATAATGGCTCTCCACTCTTACTAGCACCTCGGTGCTTCAATATCCCTCATTGGTTCCCTTAACCCTGCCCATACCTCTGTAAAGAAGTCAATGCTCAGCTGGTGTTGCTCAGTGGTTAAGTATCAACCCATGAACCAGGGGGTCAGAGTTTGACTCCTGGTAGGAGGTGTGCAGGAGACAACTGATCAATGATTCTCATCATTGAAGTTTGTCTCCCTCTCCCTTCCTCTTTCTGAAATCAATAAAAATATATTTTTTAAAAAAGAAGTCCTTCATTAGCTCTTCTCGGTGATGCAAACACAGACAGCTGAGTGGGTCTTTTGTCTCCTGTCAGAACCCCAACTGACAGGCCAGAAGACAGCCTGTCTGCTGTGTCCATTTCTGCTCTCTCCTCACACAGGTTCCTCAGGGCTGAGCTATTGTGTCCTTTCCATACTTCATGCCCTTCCTCCCCCAGGCTGCCTCCCTTCCTTTGTTAGGCCCCCTGCACCCTTTTGGAACCACCTTTGCTGGTCTCAAGGCTAATAAAGACCTGGGTTTTACCTGGTCCTCTCTTCCCCCTGTACTCACAGATCACTGATCAATAAGAAAGTAGGCCAACAACCTGTGGGGATACAGGTGGTGGGAGGCAGAGGAATGGTTCAGACATGGCTGCCTTGCTTTCACCAACTCTCAGTCCTCCATCCAGGAGTACTGAGTGGAAGCTGGAACTGGCTAAGGGCCACTAGAGTAGGGCAGGGAGAAAAAAAGGAAGGCCTGGAGTGAGAAGAGGGAGGCATTTGCTTTACGACTGGGTTTCTGGGTTCTCTCTAGACCAGACATTTTCAACCGGTATGCCGCAAGAATTTTAAAAACATTCAATACCTGACGACAACAACAATAGCCATCTTGTGTGAATGCCTTGTCTTGAACCATAAATATATAGATCATATAATAGAGTTGCAGCTTATTGGTCACATCACATAATAAGGTTGCGGTGTCCATTTAAGGTTGTCTGATTAACTCTTAGTACCAGAAATCCTTATTTACAAGTATAGACATTTGATTTTTTTAATTGATTTTTAGAGAGAGAGGAAAGGGAGAGGGCGAAAGAGATACATCCATGAGAGAAACATCGATCTGCTGCCTCCTGCATGCCCCCTATTGAGGATCGAGCCCACAACCTGAGCCACAACCTGGGCATGTGCCCTGACCAGGAATCCAACTGACAACCTCTCAGTGCATTGGATGCTCAACCATTGAGCCACACCGCCAGGGCTAGATCCCTAATTTTTTTTTAAGTCACTTTGGAGCAAAAAAGGTAGGTAATTACTATTATTTTTCTGTAAGTCAGTCAAAAGTATACCTTTTTTGTCATATGAGCAAAAACTATATTTTTGGTGTGCTGCAGAATTTTAGTAATTAGTGTGTGTGCCATGAGATGAAAAAGGTTGGAAATCACTGCTCTAGACCTTTGCCCTCTTCCCCCACCATTTCCTCCCTTTGGTTCGACAGCCCTGCACCATGGGTCGATATTGTCTGCAGCCCAAGGCCGAGATTTTGCAAAACCCATGTGTCCTTTGGGTTACGTGATGTCTGTGTTTGCTCAGCGTATAACCCCCTTCTACCAGGGTCTGAGGTCCCTGGAATAGGAACCCTAGAGGAGAAAGTCTGAAAGGGACCTCCGGGGGGACTGCCAGGCTGCGCTGTGGGGCTTCCTGAGCAACCTCGTGGGGGTTATTCCACCTTTAACTTGAGATCTCCATCTAAGGAGAGAATTTAAGGGAATCTTCTGGTACCTCTCCCTTCACCCACCGAACTCCCCTCCCTCCCACCACTTCAGTCCCCAGAGCCGAGGCTAAGGTGAGGTAGAGTGAAGCACTCACTTTAGGGGCAAAATTTAAGGGGAGGCCAAAAAATTCATCAATAAAAATAAATAATATTTTAATTCAATATTTTTCAGACATCAAGATTAATTCAAAAAAATCCATGATGAAAAAAAAGAGGCAAATTTTAAAATAAACACAGGATCAGTGTTCTTTCCTTTCTTCTGTGGCTCTGCCCTCTATAACAAGGAGAAGGAGTGGGTATGTCTTTCAAACCTTTTCTTCCAGAGTCCCCTGAGTCCCTAACTCTAGACTGTCAGACTTTTCTCATTTAGGCAAGATAATCACTCAGGATTCTTCTACTTCCTTACCCACCCCTCAGCCTTGTCGCCACCCCCCAGCCCCAACCAGGTTGGTGGTAGGGCGGGCCAGGGAGGCAGATGGCTGGAGTATTTATAACTCAGGAGCACTTCTTGGGAAAAGTGACTAAGATGCTAAGAGCATATTTATAGCTGGGTTCTGACGTAAGTGTCAGCGAGGAGGTAGGGCCGAGCCAGGCACAGCAGCAAGAGGATAGGAAGAGCTGGAAATTGGGGGCACCTGGCAGAGGGCAGAGGTGGGGCCAGAGACTCCGCAGCTATTTCTTGCTGCTTCCCTGAACTCTGTCTCCTGGCACCAACAGGTAAGCCCTCTGAAACACCATCGTGGGCAAAAACCTGTCTTGCATTTCTATAGCCCGGACCCCAGAGGGTAGAGGGCTGTCACCAGCCGGACCAACAGAGAGGGAGCTGGGGAGAGCACCGCACAGAGGGGCTGGAATGTTTCCGGCCCTGCGGCGAAACGCAGGGTGGACAGGAGGGTCTGTAAAGTCTCCTTGTCCCTTCTCCCTGCTCCCCGCCACGGGTGTCTTTGAGTTTCTAGGAAGAACCTCGCACCCATCACCAAGCTCCACTGCCACCTGCCCGTGTGATGAGGTCCAAGACCAAAGGCAGCAGTGACGCTGCTCCTAACAGCACTCTCTGCTGGCTGGCAGGGGCGAGATGTGAGAGCAGAGGGACCAGCTTCTCTGTCCCCCGCTGGGGAGCCAGGGTTCTCAGAGTGAGAGGTTAGGGAGCACTGCATCTCTCCCCTCCCCTAGTGGCCCCTTCTCTGGGAAACCGGTCAGAGCGGAGACAGCGGCTGTCAGTAGCACAGCACTGCCACACGGTGGACATCGGGGGTACTGACACCCAGCCCCCGAAGCACCACCTCTCTCTCCCTGCTGCCGGGTTAGGATTCGCAGGCTCTCTTGACAGCCCCCCACCACACCCCCGCTAAATAGTGGGGAGATGAACAAAACGGAGTGGGGGCACACTTCCAAATCACACTCACTTCCTCCCTCTTCTTGAAGAAACTGGGGCATAAGGAGAAAGGCTAGCATGAGGCCTTCCCTCATAGGTTCAAGGTGGAGGGGCCTGGCCCTTCCATTTATAGTCAGTGAGGGAGGGAGGTAAGGAGGGCTGGGATTGAACTAAGGTTGCTGCACTTTTTGTTTGCTCTACTCTTACAAGTCCTAAACCATCCGTTTCTCATCCCCATTAACAGAGACCTGGCACCACTTCTAGGATGTCCCACATTTAAGCAACTCTCACAGTCCCCTGAAAGAGAACCAGCAGCTGGGTACAGAGACTCCCAAGTCCCATGCCCTCTGCCAGCCTTGGTGGACTCTGCCCTGCTGTAAGATTGCATCAACCCCACCGCCCCCACCTCTCTGGGTTTCCCCAGACATCACAGTAACATGCCAACCCCCTGCCCCTGCCCTCGTCCACGTGTGCTCCAGTCCAACTGGACTCTGGGCAGCCAGCACAGGCAGGGTCAGGGAGTGACTTCTGTGTCCCATGGCACTGCCACCTGGGCCTGGGCAAAGGGACTCTGCTCCCCCGCCCCCACCTGCCAACCTCCTGCCCCTGTACCAGACCCATTGCTAAAAATAGAAACCGGAGTTGTCCTTCTAGCCCAGAGACCCCAGGGACATAACCACTGGAACTCGCAGCTGCATCGTAGCAACTGCTGCAGCAGAGGCCAAAGAGCGAGCTGGAAAGGCTGAGGGATGCGGGGAAATTGCCCTTCCCCACCTTGCTATATGGAGTTCCCTCCCCCAAGCCCCAGACCTTGAGGGCTGACCATGTGAA